AGTTTGGCTAATTGAAGGCATTAGTTGTTTGTGGGTCACGAGCCGGCTTCCAGCGAAGTGCATTGTATGCAAATTAGCAAATTTTATATTTCGATTGAAAGGGAAGCTCTCGCACTGCCAGCAGCTAATCCAATGGTTGGCCGCAAAGGCCGAGTGTCGGTCAGAGGAACTGGTAACCACGTTTCGACACGGCCAGACTTGATGACGACGACGTCGCGTTGTCTGGCCAAAAAATGTTGTGTCCACCACATTCGTCATTTACACATTCGTCATTTGCACAAAGTGGGTGCGGGAAGACAAGGGGGCACCGCTGCCAAATACACCCACTTTTATGAAACTCATTAGGCTGACCCGCGCAGCAGAGGAGTCAGCGAGTGGCACAAGCAACTGCTAAACGCTGTCGGCACGATCAGAGGCCAACAAATTGATCATTAAACAGAAGGCGCAAGGTAGGCGCAACAGCAACAACAACAGCATACAGAAGAGAACAGCATCAGGCTGAAATCAAACATCTGGAGGCAACGCTTACCTTGCTCCCGCCGGGCAACCAGGCAGCCGGGAGCATCATCAAACATGCTGCAGGGCAAATGGAAAAACTCGGTTACCAGAAGAAAGTGCGACCACGATCCACTGTCAGTGGCAAAACAAGATTAATTTGTTTTGCCGAGCGGTTCCCATCTACCGGCCAAATCAACCTGTTGCCCGGCTCTCCCGGCTGATCAACCGACCGACCGATCAACAGCTATTCATCATCAGCTATTGAAATCGTGTGTACGAACTGACGAAGGGGAGTTCAAAAAGTAGGTGGCGCTTTTCTCACATCCAACCATCTTTGCCGGCGTTTTACCATTAGCCACGCTTTGTATAGGATATATGCGAATTTAAATAAAATTATTCAATAACTTCATTAATCAAAGCAATGCCTGCGTTTTGAAGATGCAGCACGAATGCTCACATGAAATCGATGCTCGATTAGCGCAACTCCAGCTTGGGCTTGATGTTGAATATCTAACGATACGTAAATTGAAAGTCCTGCTCGATTCGGGCTTTGATCATGTTGCGTTGCATGCATCGATGCCTAATGAATCGCTGCTCGACTAGCGCTTGTTGTGCCTTAAGTTCGGTTGCATTAGATTCGCTGACATGCAATAAACCTAGATATAAATAGGATAAGGGTTGTTGCATTGCCTCAGGTTAGTGACATGCACATCGATATATATCGATCGCTTGCACGAGACCCAATTTAAGGATGCAGATTGAGTTGGTTATCAAGCATATTGCAACCTCGCTCTATGCCTAGAGCCCATCGGAGAAATGCTGCTTTGCATTACCCAAGCCTTAGCACATCGTAAGCTCAATTAATATCGATTGTCGATTTTTTAAGTTCTTTTATTTGCTAATTTGTTGATACTACCCTTTAGCATCTTAATCTAACTGTAGCATAAGGCGATTTACATACTTAACATTAATTATTAAGTTTTAAATGTCTTTTCTTCTTATTATTCGATTTAGCTTATATGTATCGAAGTACCCGGCTTATTAGATCGATGGGGTGCATCCTGGAAAGTCTCCGTCGCTTTCTTCTGCAAAGCCGTCTTGACAGTATATAAGGGTGAGCAGGGAGACGGGCCAACGGTTGACTATGTAACAGGGTGTCCCAGTACTTAGTCTAAGTACCTTGGCTTGAAAGCGATTATCGACTACAATATGTTACCTTACCTTAGGTCCGCCGTCCTGCAAAAATTGAAGAAATATCGATACTTGGCTAAAAGCACAAGTCGAGTTCTTGACCATGTCTTCCCAATTAGTCACACCCACACGCCCAATGATGCGAATACTTAATTGTCCTGTGCCCACTAACTGGTCCCTAACTTTGCTTTATCAAATTATGCGTGTATTTATTTACATTTGTTCTTTATAGTCTTACAAATTTGACAGATTCAATTGATTGACTGACTAAGAAAAAAACCCACACTCAGTGCATAAAAAAGTAAACGTGTCAAATTGGGAGGCTGCAGGCAACGCACACACACTTAATTTCCGCTTAATCACTCAGAACGTTGCAACAGCGACGACGACGACGACCCACATTAAATGTGGTATGTTGCATGCTGCATGCTGGCTGGAACTGGCCAACCCTCCGTGCCCCCAGAAGCAGAGATCAAGTCGCAGACAGACACAAGGGCTCATTTGCATGTTGATGTTGAGCGTTAAACGCTTTGATGGGCGGCGACAGCGTGAAAAACTCAGAAGGCGTTGCATCATTGCCCCGGGATGAGGGAGAAGGGGGGAGGGTGGCCATGAAGCAGGGGCAGCTGAAGACAGCATATTGGCTGCCATTTGGTGGATATCAAAAGAAAACAGCGTCCCAGTTTTCCAGGAAATATTTCCAAATGCCGTAATCGCAATTGGCACGGCCTGCTTATCAAAAAGAAAGACGCACAAGCGATCCTGCCAGAGACATTCGCTTGAATGGATGGGCTTATAAAACCACAATCACCGAACTATTATGACGTGATCTACAGTGCCAAGAGTCATGAAAGGAAGGACTAAATGTCGAAAAGTTGAAGAAAAAAAATATATAAATAAATAGTTGTTCAAGCAATCAGCGAGCGTGAAATCGCAGCATTCTTGAGCCAATGATATATTGAAGGCTATAGACATAAACCACGCAAAGTTTCCCAAGTCCGGAAAAAAAGGCAAATAAAAAACAACAACAAGCAGGAAGAGAGGTGAAACGCCAGCGAGGACGACGCAAACGTGCATTTTATGGAGGTAGAGCTCAGGCAAGGATGTGATGAGTCCTGCACATGGTTCCGTTTTGTTGTGCTCTTCCTGAGAAAAATTTGCGTGTGCTACAGCCAGATCAGGTAAGTTGTATTTTCACTTCTCTCGTACGATTATGTCTAAATAAACTGTTTACGACCAGTTTCTGTATTCGAAATTGTGTCAAAAAAGAGCGAGCTCTACTTTCGGCATGTGTACACGGGCTGACATTGTTTAGAGTAAAGGGTTTTTACGTTTTCGACTTTTGTTATGACTTTTTGACTTGCAACGCCAAAATTTCCATGAAAAACGATCGGTTTGATTTCTGAATTGTCAACCGAAAAGAATTTTATGATCATGGTGGAAAGTTACGGAAAAATTTAAAGCAAAAAAATGCTCGAATTCCTTGAATGGAATGAAATATAGCTCGCAACTATTTCAACAACAAAAAATACTCAAATGTAAGTTATATTAGCTGCAAATGAGCTGAAAAGCGAGTACACTAATTTATGCATTATTTTCAGGTAGGCTCCGCCCATGCCGTATATTCATGGAATACGCACCCCTAAAGATTACGCCCCAACTTACCACAAACACGGCGTGGCGAATGAGAAATCAAAATTCGTCTTGCCCTTTGGTAAACGGTGCGGTTAAAACAGAAAAACAGCAAAACCAAACAGCCAACCATATGAGAATACGTTAAGGACTCGAAAAACATGGCAGGGTTCCTCCCTAGATGATGACCTTGAAGACGCAGTTGCAGCGACTCCCTACCGAATGCCCATATGTACGCCGAGTACTGGGTGTATCGTTCTGGTTTCGGAATTTGTCTCGCATCAGTATGCCCCTCACAGCTACCCTGTATGTCTGTGCGGTTTAAGTTCTGGTCGCAGTTTGGTCGCCGATCTTCATGTACGCACAGCAAGGTGCATGACCTTAGTTAGTGTGTGCATGTTTGTGTTTCGCAGAACAACCATAAATATTTTGGGTGATTATTTTAGATAATCTTCGCCTAATGTCCTTGGATTGTTTCATTTCCTCACTACGGCCAATGCTTAATGCACGTTGCAGTTAGACAATTCAAATGTGAAACGCAAAAATGAAAAAGCCAAGATAAACAACAAGCCCGCATTAGAAATCTCGAGTTTTACATTGTGACATTGTTTATTTCAAAATGATATTAGTATAATTATTCATCACATTACATGTGGATCGCATAGTCCATTGTAATAGAAAGGGTAAGGAAATATAATAATTCTAAAAGGTAGCAAACTGTACTAAGGTAATTCATTTCAGCAAAAAACTGTTTTGTTATCGGGCTTTTGCCCGCTTAAATTTGAATTTACTAGGACGGTTTAGTTAACAAATAGTTATCGATGACTTCGAAATAGAGGAGGAGTAAACTAAGGAATTGAAAAATTATTATTATTCTTTATATACCTTAATTCAGGGATAATAGCCCTCTTAAACACGATTAAAGTTTCAGCTAACTAATCTTGAAAAAAATATAAAAATTATGAAATATACAAAACAACCGGAAAAAATAAGCCTTGCACTTGAACCCTAATATCTTTTCTCAGGGATAATGGCCCTAAATGCTTTATATACCAATAGGCAGATACATGTTTAAGGTAGTCTTACGCATTAATTCTAAACAAATTGATCAGCCAGTTTTTTAAAACATTCAAGTAGCCTATCGAACTACTAGTTCCAACGGGAACTGAACCACGCTTGGAATCAATGTTGAACAATTTTATATAGTATTGAGCGGGAACAAATTAATTTCAAATTATTTGTATATATGAATGAAATAAGGCAACAGTGCATTTTAGAAACCATCAGCAAAATCAAAAAGGGGTTCATCAGTCAAATAAAAATAAAGGAGGCGCAGCTTCAGCCCTAACGGATGCGGTCCACATTTGCCGCAGCCACAGGAGCCGCGTCAGACGCAGCAAATGCCACAGCCGTAGCAGCAATCAGGCCCAGTACATGTACGAGATTGAATCTCATGATTATGAAAATATAAATTTTGACCCAAATCAGCCAAAATGAGAGAGGGTCGGTTCGAAAATCAAAACTTTTTTGATGATTTTTTTTAATATCTCGGATAAATAATTTCGGATTTCGAAATGTTATTACCATGTGTTTTCGCCGATTATCTGTGAAAAAAGAAAACAATTTATAAATATTGTCGCAAAGTTTTATTTATGAATCCGTGTAGTTTTTTCATGAATACATATAATTCGAATTGCTTTTGTGCCCGCCCAATGCTGTATGAAATTGTTCAACACTGAATCCAAACAGTGGTTCAGTTCGCGTCGGAACTAACAGCTCGATAGACCTTACGGATGAACTATATGAGTTTGGCTTACAATTAAATAATTTTCTTAAAAACGGTACCGTCAATTGGCTTGAAATTAGTGCCTAAAGCTTCTTAAAACATGTATCTACAAGATGGTATAGCGTGCACTGAGGACCATTGTTCCTAATCCGTGAATGGACAGTGTTTGGCATATGGTACATCAATGCAAATGCAGCCGCGAGCACTAAAAGCAAGTTCGTAAATTTAATGGTCGATATTTTGGAAGTGATAGAATACTTACTTATCAGGCGCATCGTTTCCTATATAATACTCTCGCAGCAGTGATATGAACTCAAATGGATTAACTTTACCGTTAACTGGCAGACGCTTGGGACCCGACAGATTCACACAGCCATTGGGACAGGGAACGCCCATGAACTTGGTGTGCTTCATGGTGGCCGTGGCCAGGTAACATATGCTCAGAAAATGCGAGCAGCGATAGCGTCCTGTTGGATAAACCCAAATGAAGCTAGTTAATATATAAATACTTGTGCTCTTACTAATCGGATTTCCTTTGCAGAACGGTTGCACGCGGCCACCATTTACACAATAGTTGAGATGCCCCGTATTGTCTTCTTGGCCCAGATAGCCGGCATTGGTATGGAGCACCTGTATGACACTCGCATCATCGTGGGACAAGCGAAATCGATTGCTCTTCTTGCGCTCGATTAGTGGACGCGCGGGATCCAGGCCAATGATGCGATACTGCTTCTTGGTCAAGTGATTGCTTATCATGCCGCAGATGTGGGCGCCCAGCGAATGGCCCACGCAGGTGATCTTCTCACGCGAGGCGCCATAGTGTGTGAGAAACGAGTACACCTGAGCCGTGCATTGTGCCGTCAGACGCGTATTGATCAGCGAGTGCAGGTAGCAGGGGTATCGGGTCAGCGGTCGCCAATCGACAGTTATCACATTAAATTCGCGCGACAAGTATGCTAAGGATAAACAAACAATGGTTAACCCCACCAGGTCCTGCCTGGCGCGTCCAATTCATACTCACTAACCATCCCTCAGAAACTGTAGATGCATGTCAATGGCGGTCCCATTAAATCCATGCACTATGAATACCGTCTCGCGCTGTTTGCTGAAACCGCCCTTGTACAGGGTCAACGGATTGTGTATGTTCAGTGGCAGCCCAGAGCGTGGCCCATTACTGCGAAAAGAAAAAGCGAAAGCAGATTAAAATTATGTAAACATGCAAAGTCAAATATACATATGCATAGTATGTATGTGTCTAGGAAAATACGCAGCTAAGCAAAACAATGATATTGAACAATTTATGCATCAGTGACTGGACTGGTAGCAATTGGCTATGATATGATATACTAATGTTATATAATACAGTCAAATGCATATGGGCGCATAACAAACACATCAAAACATCCATTCATTTCGCACAAGAAATGCAACAAATTTAAACAATGTAAGTTGAGACTCTTGAAATGTACAACCGATTTTATGGCTCGATACGTTTATGTTAAGCTAATAAAAAGGCTTACAGATGAGTAAAAAAAACTGATGAAATGAAAAACTTCTAATTGTTAAAGTTTAATTTAATTGAAGAACTTTCGGGTCTGTTTCGCAAAATATTCGATAGATAACCTATGCCTAGGACGCGATACCACATAAATATCAGCTCACGCTAAATACGACAACTGCTATTGAGCAGAAGAAAGCTTCATTTTTAAGACCGCGAAAAAGTATATTAATCTATATATATCTTTCTTTCTTTCTATTTGCATTAAATTGTAGACATAAATGTTACCTCTGTTTCCCCACTGTGGAAATTCGAAATCTACCCGAACTTAAGTTTATATGTGCTGCGAATTAAGAACCAACATGTAATCACCGTGAGAAGCTTGAAGCCCAAATATAGACCTTTGACCCGTGTTTTTCATTGAACAACGGTAAATTTTGCAAAAGCTGTGAAACACTTCTTAAATGTATTTTGATTTTCTTTGTTGAGGCCATTGTTAGCTCATTCATTGATGTATTTCTAGGGTAACAAGAAAGTCTATCATCCGTGATAAAATTTGTTATAAAGAAAACCTAATGAATAAACGAAGCTTTATTCAGCGTAAGAGTTATTATTTAGTCAAAGTAATTCAAACGTAATGTTATATGAGCACGAGCTTTCTGCATAAGTTCCATGGATATCTTCTAGTTAGGCACGCGTGGGAGCATTTAACCGTAAAGCGATCTTAACGGGTGGCAACTGGGCCTAACACGTTCGTCAAGTGAAAATAACCATATTTTTGCCAGCTACGAGTTGGCAGCATCTGTGAAGTGCACATCACGTAATGTGAGGCATCTATTACCGCAACATTGGCTAGCCAAAATAGGCAGCTGCACTTGTTAAAGCTGGACTTGGACTTGGTCGAGAGCTGGTCGAGGCGGGCAGACAGGTTGTAGACCAGCAAAGCAATATTTTATTTGCAATTGCGATTGATGTCATCTTCGGGCGCTCTTATTGGCCACGCCAACCAGTCTGCGCCGCGGGCCAATTTCTGTGCCAATTTCTGAACTGGGTCGAATTGGCGGCATCGAAAAAAAAACAAGTTGCTCGCCCATTAATTGTACATACTCAACCCATATCCTTGTGGTTGCACAAGTTTTTTGATAGCTGGCACAGTGACCGAGGCGAGTTCCATTACCAAACCGAAGCATATTCCGATTTCTCACACTTTCTCCCAAAATAATTCGCAATTAAATTGGTTTGGCATAAGATCTTAAGAGACATTAGAGACACTTCGCAGATTATCGCATTGGCCTTAATTGGCTGTCATTGAATCGGAAAACCGAATCCACAAACTTACGGTGCATAGAGCCGATGCTCAATGTAGGGACTGGGACAAAAGTTTTTGTCGCGCAGAAAACAGCGCAACACGTTCACATCCAACGCTCCGCTGTTGAGCAGATTTTTCCAATCCATTTGGTTCAGCAGCAGCGTTTGCACATCTGCAAAATTGGTTAGATCGTGAGCGAAACTTATTTGTCAACTTTTCTAATTGTCGTTTCTGCTGTTGTTGTACCTTTGAAAATAAGCGTAAATAGGCAAATCACAATTAAACAATTCATTTCTCCTCAATTGTATTTTCACCAGTTGCACCAAGCACTTTTAATTGCCACACATGTGTGTTTGCTTCTGTCTGTCTTTGGACTTTTACATTGAATTACAAATTTGACATGCAATGCGATTAGCAATTGCTTGGCTTAAACTTATTTTTACAAATTACTTAATTTTTTTGCCTTTATTCGTGTTTGTGCCTGAAGTGTGCATGCCTTTTTAATTAGTTCAAATTTCAGGAATTTTCATACATTTTTCATTCAAATTTTAATTATTTAATTTGTTTTTACGAACTTTTATATAATGTTTCGCGTGACTTTTTAAAAAAGTAGTAATCATGTGTTTTTAAGTATTTGAGATACTTTTTTATTTTTAAGCTTTAACTAAAACTCATGTTTTTTTTTTAAGTCTTAAAGAAACATTTGCTTAACGTTTTTTATTTTTTAACAAAAACCTGTTCTCGCTCTTTATTAATTTAATACTTTTTGCACCATAATTAAAAGCAACTTTTTGCTTTAAAGCCTGTATGACAGTTGCTTCATATACGTTATAAATAATGCAATAGAGTACAATTTCTTTAAAACAAATTCGTTTTTATAAACAATTTATAAATACTGCTTTTATTTATCTTTTGAACATTGTATTTCAGCTCGTATTTGTTTTTGCACATTTTCTCAGCTCAAATAATTAGCACAAAAAACTGTTCAATACGGGTTTGTATCCTTTTCACATAACGGCGGATGCTTTTCACGTCTTGCAAATTCGCGCGATGCGCTTCGAATGCGCCAAGTGCAGTGGAAATGCAGCCGCGGCAACTGTTGCCAACTATCCAAAGAATTTCGCTGTCGTCGGCGCTGCTGCCGCTGCCGCAGCCGCAGCCGCAGCCACTTATTGCCTTGACTTTACCTTGGCGAATGCTTTCGACTGACTTTGTGTGGAAACTCACACGCAACGCTGCACTGATTTTGTATACCATTGCGCGGAGCGGATATTATGGCAATAGCCGTCTGATTGGTATTGTGAAATTGTTAGTACTTTCTTGATGAAAAGTAATTACTTAACTAGTTGGTTCGATTAAATGCTATCTCAATGAGATCCAAGTATGAAGAATTATATCAAGACAGTTCAACCGAAACGATTCCAGGAATTATGTTTAGTAGAAACTGAACCAAGAACGGAACTTGTTACTGAAAATCTGATGAGCCCAGTTTTTATAGCAAAATAACTGTTTGGCAAATTGTGAACTATTTAAACTAATTAACTACAATTTTGAGATAACGTGAAGAACCTCGGACTTAAAGTCAACTTTTTGGTTCATATTGTGAACCGAAGCGCAGACTTTATTAATTAATTATTTAAGCTCAGATTCAGCATAGTGTGGTTTTTCACTTCTCTTTTATTATATGAGGAACTGTTTAAAAGCAACTAAAATTTCAAATTTACCACTTTTTCAGAATGTTTTAGTTTTCCAAATCTTTGAATATTATACTCAATACAAATATTAAGCACGTTCTTAGCACAAACATTTGACTTTGTTGTAAAAACTTTATCGATTAATAATTTGTTAAAAATACACTGCAGTTGCAGAGTATTTAGAAATCACCGTTATAAAAAACAATTTTCCTTGCTTGTTTTGATTTGGTTTTTAGTTTGGTTTTCGGTTTTGGTTTCGCTTTTCGCAGTCGTCGCAGCCAATTGCTGCTGTGTGTTATCATCCGCGGTCGAGTCTGTTATTTGTTTTGTTTTGTTGGTATTTCTTTGCAGTTTTTGCCTTTTTCTTCAGCACGATATTATGTAAATTTAAATGGTTATAGATATATTTTAATGCGTACACTCACTTCGTGGTGGTTTGCTATGATTTTGTGCTTAATTGTTATGAAAGATAGAAACGAAACTGTTAACCAGACTATTGCAAGTTTGTTGCCTAAGTCTTTTGTTTTGATAATGCACCAAAAATTACTTTTTATATGGCTATGCAGCTATAATTATACAGTTTAACTGTTAAGATAAACTCATATGATTTGAAAACTATTTTGGCCAATTTTCTGGCCAAAATTTTGTCTTTCCAGCGATTTCATGCTGTGCACCAAATAAATGCTCTTGCACTTTTACATTGGCCCCATTGTTATGGCTGTTTGCGAACTAACTGAAAAAGGAGGCAAAGTCGTCTGTGACAAAATATTCAAACCCCACGAAGCAGCAAGGGCGTAGAAAAGTGAAAGATTGTCATAAAAGTATTTAAAGCAAGTTTTTAGATGTCGTTAGACCTTGATTTATGGGTAAAAGTAAGTCTTTGAATGAGGCTGGACTAAGGCAGAAACAGTGCAGACTTGAGGAAAATCGAAAGTTTTTGAATGTTATTTTGTGCATATTTGTTTATTTAAATAATGTTGCAAAAGTTATGGTGGGCAATTATATATTTATTATTATATGAAAAACATGCATATTATTTATTAAAAAATTCGAACTATCATTTAAAACGATTTTATTGCTTATTTAAATATTCTCCATTAAGTTTTTTTAAGGCTCAGCTCGAAGCATTCTGGACCATTGTCTAGTTATGATTGTGCAATATCATATCTTATTAATATTATAATGTTTATATGTCATATAAAATAGTCTCGATTTTAATTAAAGCACAGCATAGACTTAAACTCGCACAAATAACTTTATTTCACACTTCAAAAGATTGTTATAAAAATACACACTGCATTTTTGGGATTTCTTTCCATATATCGAATAATTTTTCTAAGAAAATATCTATTGACAATTTTTGCAAATAAGATGCACAATACAAAAAAGTCTTTATATTGTTTGAAAATATTTGTGGCAAAGTGTTTAACAAAGCGCTTACTACCGATTTGATCGTTTCGATTTAGTCAGAGGTATGCTGTCATATTAAGTTTACATTTTATGTCACTTTTTTCAATTCTAATAAAACTCTTTGCTATTTTATTTATTTATCGATTTCATAGGTAGCTTACATTTTTATTAATTTATGTAACACGATCAAATAAAGCTGATTTGCATCTATTGCATAATCTCATAAAAGGTTAATGGCAGAAAACTTATTCTAAGAACTCATAATTATTAAAATCACGCAAATATGTTTCAATTTAATTTATTAGAATTTTTAGGCTTTAGTTAATAAATCAACTCACCTGGTAAATAGCTGAAAGCCAATATATTCCCTGGGACACGTTTCCCACGACAATAGATGGCAATTAAATGGATTTATATCGAAATTGCCATTACGCAACAAGAATCTCAATGCCTCCAGGCTGAATTTGGCTATTGAACACACAGATATAAAATAGAAAACACAAGTCACATGCAGATTACATTATCTGAGAGTAGATCTCAGCTACAACCTTTTGCCGGTCGAATGAGGGAAAGTAAACACCAGAGCGACAATAACAAAATGAAAACGCTGGACATTTGGTAGAGAGTGCTGGGAATTCGCATATTTATCACGTACTACCACGAAGTGCACTAAGTAAGATAGGAGCCGAGCCACATGGAACGCGTCTGGTTAATTGAATGAGCTCGTTGTCGCTGTTGTAGGCAGATAAAAGCCAAAACGCTGCCAAAGCTACCAAAAACAAAACTTGGCGCACACCAAAGTGGCCCGGTGTGGCCCCAGCCTAAGACCCCAGACGGCTCACCCCCGGCCCGATTGACATTGCTTAGACAATCTTTAGTTTCTATTTTAGTCTTAGTCTGAGTCTGGGTTTTGTTTCTGTTTGCTGCTCATGCATTGAGTTGGTTGCGTGTCACCGAAACCCCATTTCCATATGGCTGCCCAGGCTGCTGTGGGTTACACAATGCCACACAAAGATATTATAAACATATTTATAAATTGTTTTAGACACATGTTTCACATTGCCAAATAAACACACACACACACACCTGCACACACAGAACAGCATACGGACCAGCTGCAGGCTCGTTAACAACTCAAATTTTCAACTTCTTCGTCCACTGACAGGTCAAAGTTGGCATTGCTCCTCGAGTTAAGAGACAAGCTAGAAGAAAAAGTCAATTTTTCCAAAACTGGAAGTTGATTTGCCTATTTGAATATGTTAGCTTAATGCCAAATAGAAAATGTTGTGATTTGCTGATAGGATTACAAGCCATTAGACAGAACATTTAATATTCTAATATAGCTACGTCAAAATTAACATGAAGAGCCAATTGAGAAAAGGATACCAAAATAGGAAAACTATAACATGATAAAATAAAAAAAATTATTTCCCTATGTTTGTCTTTGCATAAATAAATGTTTTAAATAGTCATCAAATATATACAAATTTGTATTTCGCGATGATTCTAAAACATTGGTACTGGTTGTCCTAAGCCGAAGGTGCCACAATAGATAGCAGCGAAATTATTATGACCTTCCGTACTTTCAAAATTGGTTGTATTGCTCGATCGTTACAAACTATTCGAAAAATCAAGTCTCCACTGTAGGACTGAACTTTTAAATAATCGCGGGCACACCGTTGTGCTCATTATGAACTGTAACTCTACTGTTTGACTCTGCGTAACTGTTATCGTAATAGCGTCGCCCTGCTGTTAACTAAATTTACTCATATTTGGCTATGAGTTCCCAGACTTATGCACAGACTGCTTGAATCAAATTATACAAAAATGGCTTAACATAAAATAAATAAGAATTTTTAATCGACGCTCGAAAATTTCTAGTAATATAGGTAAGGCTTACTCAACTGTTAACGCAGCTCTTGTAACAGTAAACGCAAAAAAGAACCTCTCTGTCAACTTTTACTGCTGCGGTTATGTTAATGTTAAAAAGAGTATTTTTAACGTTTTCCAACACTCAAATGATACACATGCACATACACAAATACAGGCGTACAGTCGCAACATCTTAAAAAATTGAAACTTATATTTTGCAGCGTAAAAACTTATTTGGCCAATTTGCATATAGCTAATTTAAAGTTTCATTGTAATGAACGATACCGCTGTGTTGAATTCAATGTCGTAGGGCCGCAGATAGCAAGTATTTTACAAGAAATCACAACATGATTGCATCCGAATCGGAGGCTATAAACTCGGCCACTTATGTGGATAATTATCTTGATTCCGTGGAGAATCTACCTGACGATGTTCAACGCCAGTTGTCTCGCATACGTGATATAGACGTGCAGTACCGAGGTAATATCAAAACATTTATACTTCCTCCAAAAATCCCACTTATCCCATGCATACTATTTACTCCTAATAGGACTAATACGAGATGTGGATCACTACTATGATCTTTATGTGCTGCATCAAAACTCGCCAGACACAAACCGCCGATGTCGTTCCATAGCGCGTATGCACCAAAGCTTAATACAGGCACAGGAACTGGGTGATGAGAAAATGCAGATTGTTAATCTCCTACAGGAGATAATAGACGGTAAAGTCAGACAATTGGACACAGATCAGCAGAATCTCGATTTAAAGGAGGAGCGGGAACGTTACGCGCAGCTTGACGATGGCCCGCCATCAAAGATTCAGAGGTTACAGAGTCCAATGTGTGATCAGGGCAACAGTGCGGGAAACAACGTGTTAAATAGTAGCGGACTGGGCAACTCAACTAACTCCGTTGCCAAGGACCATTATGGAGGACTGCCTTTTGGTGCTGTCATGGGCGTAACAGCTTCTGGCGGCGGCATAAGTGGCAATGGAGGAGGTTCAACGCCGACGTACGATCGTTCGAGCCACTTGAACAGCAGTGGCAACGGCTTCAATGGCACCTTTTGTGGCAGTAATAGCGAGCTCCAGCGTTCAGGAAGTAAACGTTCACGACGACGCAACGAAAGTTTACCCAACAATGGCAGCTCCACCGAAATGGGCGGCAATGAATCGAATTCGGCTAACGAAGCTGGTAGTAGTGGGAACGGAACTAGTGATCGGAAGGCTTCTATGGGCAGTTCCGGTGGCTTGGGCCAACGTAAAAGCCAAGTGCAGTTATCAAGTGGAGGTGTTGCTAGTGGCACAGGTGGCGGTACCGGCAATGGCGGTGGCAGCAATTCTGGCAAAAAGAAGAAACGCAAAGTGCGTGGCGCGGGCGCTTCGAATACAGCGACGAATGCTCGTGAAGAAACGCCTCCGCCAGAACCCATCGATCCAGACGAGCCAACGTACTGCGTCTGTAATCAGGTGTGTAACGCGAAAGTTCATGATAATCATATAACAACAGTTATTAATGTACTTTCTATTCAGATTTCTTTTGGGGAAATGATACTCTGCGACAACGACCTGTGCCCCATTGAGTGGTTCCATTTCTCGTGCGTTTCCCTTGTGCTGAAGCCAAAGGGCAAGTGGTTTTGTCCAAACTGTCGCGGTGAGCGGCCAAATGTCATGAAGCCGAAGGCGCAATTTCTTAAGGAACTCGAGCGCTACAACAAGGAAAAGGAGGAGAAAACTTAAATTATCTTGTTATAAAAGTTTTGTGTTAAACACTTAGCCATTACAATTAGACCAGGGCTCAGCACTATGTACATTATTCGCTTCTTAAAATGTAGTTAATGTAAACACCCTTTCACAAACGGAACTTTAGTTTGTTTATTTGGCTTTTCGCCCCTTGTATCCACATTTTGCTTCAGTGGTTTTAAGGTTCGTCAATATCTGTATAAACGTTCAAGCTACATGATGTGTAAAATAAAATTTAACAAATGCTAAATAAACATTGATATTTATACTGAATATCGCTAAGATATACGGCAATAAGTTGAGGGCCTACTTTTGGTTGACTTACTTTAAAATTGTGGACCACATGATTTTCATAGCTATATCATTTTCCACAGTCAGATAAAAAATTAAATTTGTAACTAGTTTGTACATTAAAAATACAAATTTATTTGTGTAAATGTGTAATATTCTCTACGTGTTGTATGAAATACATAAGTGTAAAATATTATGTATAAGACACATTTAATATGGAATATTATGTTATTGAAGTATAAACTGTGGACGGATTGTTTGTATGGACAAAATACTTATAAGTAAATCTAATTTTAAAATGCTTTAAACTTGTTGATTATTCGATTTGCATTCGACAAGAATGTCGTCCTTAAGGCATCAGAAGTTCGATATTTGGATTTTGTATCTCCAGGAAGATTTGGTACTGGGAGAATACGACCAGCCAGCAGTAAACCTAAACGAGAAATGGTTAAATTGGTGACGACAACTGCTTATTCAACTTACATTATAAGCCACCCAAACAAAGTTTAGCAGCGCCGAGAATGTTTGCTCCAACTGATTGAAAGTTAATTAGTTAATATATAAGGAAATTAAATCCATAATCTATATATGCTCACGTATATGTAGTAGCCGCCGATTAACCAAAGGCTCCAACCAAATTGAAATAGAATGGCGAGTCCAACCAAAAAGAGCCAGGGCAACAGCCAGCCACGCGTACTGCGAAATATTGGAACATTGAGTATTTACAATTTCATGGTACACACGTGTCTTACTCACCTTATTTTAATTCCAAAGTACACTAGATAGGACGACAATATAATAAGCAGGAAGTAAATTATAAAAAAGCCACCGGCTATCGGCATGGAAGTCCTTATGTCCGTTTCAAACAAGGGTGAGTAAAGTTGGCCAGACTCTCCACCAGCGAGCATGTAGCAAATCAGGGTAATTAATACCACGCTTAACGATGCCGTGTACGCGGCAACAGCATAGCTGCCCGTGCGTACATCGTTGGACCAAATTATGGGTGACCAACAGGAGCTCAGGACAACCATTTTTAATAAATAAAATCGTTATTTACAAGATGCAACAAAATGTTTATGAAATAATAACGCCTTGTCAACGCCCTGGCAATGTGACCAAAAACTAAAATTAGAGATGCTAAATATGTTATCGATTAATTGGTGTGAATAAGAATCTGTAATAATATGGTCAATATGCTGTTAAACTAATATGAAAGAACGCGGCATTTAATTTTCTACAAAGGGGATTGTTAGGTTTTTGCACAAGATGTCATTTTGTTGGCTTCACTGTTGGTTAAGTAAATGTTACACTTCGTTATGGTGCGAATAATATTTCCAGTGCACCTATCGATTGCCGGCTAACTATCGGCTGTCAGAGGGATGAGTAACTCCTCAATAGTTGTTTATTTTTGAGCACCTGATAACCTGTAAGAAAATATGCCCTAAATGATCTTCTGAACTTGCTACTGTACTGTATACCAATGTTTAATAATTTAAATTAATTCACCAACAATATTATAAGCTGAAACAAAGCAGTGCAGAGCAAAGCTTCTTTAATGTGAAGTGTAGTTGATTGAGCAGGCAACAGATGGCGCCAGCGGCAATTTGTAAAATGTTAGCTGACGAAAACTTTTAACAGCAAGTAAGAGCCAAGCGGCTGTTATGTTAACGGAATTTAAAACAATTTATCAACAAAAATGTATGTTTACAGATAAATGAGAATAAATAAATAATATTTTGGAAGTTAATTACATAATGTATATTAAAAATAATTGTATGTATTTGCTTTGTTGGTTTAGGGTTATTGCTAAACGCACTGGAACAGAGTATATTATATATTATTTTTATGATATGACGTTTTCGATATCATTGTAAATGATGGGTAAAAATAACATCCTCCTATTGACAATAGACAGAATTATATTATATATTTTTTTTCAATTTATTTTTTTTTACTTTTACAATTTATTTCATTTACTCAAGTATATTAGTATGTATGACCAATCTGTATTGATAATTTACTTTCTGAGAAAAGAACAAGCCGCCTTGCACTTAAACGCCTAGAAAAGCTTCAATCCAAATCAATTTAATTTTAGTCTGAACAATAGCGCTTTGTAAAATACAAAGTGATATACGAAGTGATTGAAAGCAATTGATTGGTCCACGAACCACTTTCATTACTTATGCAATTGCCAATCAATTTTCAATTTGATGCCAACCAAAGAAAGTCAAATTCGACACAATTCCACGGAAAATGGCCGATAAGTTTAGCTACTTATGTAGTTGCCCCTCCCCCCGAGTGGAGGCGCAGCGAAACTTGCGCTCGTCTAATCAGAGCGGGCCATAAATTCCGAAAGAGCGTTGAAAATTGCGATCCGCATTGCTTCGCCTGGCTGCCTGTTATTCTCGGTCGGCGTTGCCAACTTTACTAATTAATTGTGCACTTGAGAATTTTTGAGCAACAGCGCACAAAGCAAACTGCAAACTTGCCTCGCTAGGCAAAAAACTTGGCAAAGGATAGATGGTTGGAGTGAGGGGGGGTGGAAGGAATAAAGGTAAGGAAAGGGAGCGAGAGATAGAGAGAGAGTTAAGTGAGTGTGTGCAATGAGAGTGTGTGCGTTAGGTATGGCAACTGGCAAAGTTGATGAGTAAATAAACTAACAATTTTTCCTACTTAATTAACAAAATTGTTTTAATGCGCTGCCAACGTCTGCGCCGCCGTCGCCGCCGTCGCCGCCACTGCCAACAGAAATGCCAACTGAAGCGTTTAGTGGAGGCGACGTTGTCAACATTGACAGACTGACAAGCTGACTGCCTGGCTGAATGACTAAATGACTGAGCAAACAAACTGTGAAGTGCGGCGCTGAAGGCAACATCAAAATGGCGGCATTGCAACTCAATAATTAAACTTGTCGCCAGTAGATGGCGTTAAGTCATGCATGTGTTGATATAGGGGCACGGGGGCTGGATTGTATTAAAAAGTTTCATCACGCCAGAAGGAGCTGAATCACAATTATGTCATGTTGAAACATGTTCTCTTATTTACAAGTGCCTCAATTTTCTTTGGCACAGTTTGTTTAAGGATAGGGTGTTACTTAATAATACGATAAGTCAGACTAATAAATTGTTTAAATTCATTTTCTAGCCGAAAATAAAATATGAAAAGACCTGACTTGATTTTGAGTATCTATAAGAAATAAGTGTTAAAAATAAAACATAGAGCTGAGCAAAAATAGGCCTGTTACAAAATGGCGTTATTATAGACGAAAGTTGAGCGATATGGCAACCTTCCAAGATTAAGCACAGCAAAATTTATAATTTATCTTGAAGTCTGATCTTTTCGGAGTCTTTAATAATATGATTTGATTGTTTAAAATAACAAACCACTCTGAAAATATTACTAATATTAGCATCAAAAATATTTTATTTATTATAACCTACTTCCAGGATATTTGATTCTATTTTATTTCCATTGACAAATGCTTGCTGATTAACATATAAAGTCGTTTTCCGCGGCCAGAAGGCAGCATTCAAGCAAGTCCTTTGTTGTGGGGAGGGGGCCATTTATTTGCTAGCATTGACAACTCTGCGCCACAATAAATTGCAACCCTGTAAGCAATGCATTGCTGCTGCTGCATTCTGGGACGTTGCGGCTTATGAATTGCATTACAAATTCGCATAAATTTTGCGCCAAAGTATGCGCAACAAATCGTTTGTGGCAAGCGCATTTATCATCAAAAAAGACGCATCCATTGCAGAAATTCAATCTAAAGCCAACCGCGAGAATTATGAGCTGAGTATGGCGGCACTTACCCCACCCCACCCCCTCCCCTCACTTCCGGCGGAAAATATTTGCTGATGCAGCTTTGACGGGCTTTGTGAATTGACTTTTAAATGGCTCAAGCTGAATTATGTATTGGCGTTTCGTTTATTGGATTTATTGGCTATTTAAAATGTTATATGGAAATTAATCGCAATGGGAAATGAAAAGTCAGAAATGTGCTCTGGCAGGCATGGTGAATAAAATTAATTGAATTCTTATGAATAAGATTTCAAAAGGTTGTACGAGGGCTGACATTGGAAAGTAAAAATAAGCCTAGAAGTCAGCTTGTTAAGCCAGGCATGCGAATAAGCCTTATATTTTTATAGGAACTCGATAAAGTTCTGCTTTGTCAGTTCAATTAACCGATCTTAAATTTTCCATTATATTATATAGCATGCAAGAAAATGTATTTATTTTTTTAAGATCTAGTCATGAGCAACCTACTCCACGGAATAACTCTTTCTCCGTACGTTACGTTGAGATTACTAAAAACTCTCTGGTTCTAGTCCGTTATTTCCAACTTAACGTAGAACTTTAGTTCCAAAATTTGCACTAAGAGGGTGGATCGGCGATTATAAGATTAATGCGAATTGGACTTAAACGCATAAAACAACTTTCCACTTAGAAGCGTGAATTGTCCGAAAAGTGTGAGGTATGTGTCAAGTGAATTAGGTTAGTCTTATATATACTCTAGAGATAAAAGATCTCAGCAAACTGTCTAAATCATAGCATTTGTAGCACTAGTAACATATTGGCATGTATAAAGCTGGCGTCAGTAGCTTTTTACCCTCATGTTTTAGCAGCTCATCAGTTTATTATCGCTTGATTTATACAAGTTAATTAACACGTTCGTTAGCCAGAAGAAAAAGTGGAATGTTCAACAACATGGAATGAAGTTGGAGATAGAGGAAGTGCGACATATGGACGGATGGCCTTACCTATGTCAACACGCAGAGAAAAAGCACAATTAAACCCTTTGAAAGGGCGCAGACAATGCTGCAAATACAA